TGCATAAAGATGAACACCCACTGCGTGACTAAGCAGCACGGTACTAATTAGCAGCAATGAGAAGGTAGGAGCAAATGAGATTCCTGGGAGAGCCTTTGTTCTGGTGCTGTTGTAGAAAATGGAAAATCTGGTGTCTGGGAGACAGTAACCCAGATCTGATGCAAAATGAGGTTTGTTGGCTGAGGTCAGGACGGCAGGTGCTGCTGAGACACCGTGAGAGTGCGAGCACTGATGGCAGCACCGGGAGCAGCCCACTTGGCTGATGGCAGCTCCAGACTGGGGACAGCCCCTCACTGCTCCTTCCCGTGGCCCTGGGGGCAATTCCAGAGAAGCCCTTTCCCCTCAGAGCTGGGGAGAGCTGCCTGAGAACCACCTGAGACAGTGAGGGCAGGGCTGATCCCAGAGCTCTCTTCCCTGCTGGCACACCTGTGGGGCTCCGGCAGGGTCCAGTCCAGCAGGGGAACCACGCTGGGAAGCCAAGGGGAGCTCTCGTGTAGGCAGTGCTGCCCTACACCCTGTGCTGGCTACAGCAGACACGGGTCACAGCCCTGCCCAAGGGCTCTGTGCACGCCAGGTGACAAACATCCACACATCAGCCACTGCAGCTAGTATTTCTTATTTAGTAAATTTATTTTAAGGTATAAAAGCTGAGACAAAATGAGGCAAAGGCTGGAGAATGACTCCGTTGCTACCCTGTGCTCTCTGTAGTCTGTATCCCAGAGGGATTATATTCACTCCCTTTTGGTGTTGGATGATGAAGTTCCAAGCAGATACTGGGGCTCTCTGCAAGCCCTGTTCCTCATTCTGGTGGATGGTGATTGCTGTGCAGGAACTCCTCCTGGCCCCTGACCAGCAGTCCCTGTGGCTGGGGTGGGATGGTCTGGAGGCAGACAACTCCTCTTAGGCAGGAACTCTGCTGTGAGAAACACAACAGAGAAGGTGCTGAGCCGTGGTCAGGGATGTCTCAGAGCCAGACACCCTCCTGGAGCTCAGGAGGCAATTCACAAAGGCACTTCACAGAATCATGGAATGGTTTGGGTTGGAAGGGAATCTCAGTTCCAATGCCAGCCATGTCCAGGGCCACCTTCCACTAGACCAGGTTGCTCAAAGGCCCATCCAACCTGGCCTTGGCTGGATTCTCTCTAAATAGGTAGTATTCCCTCTAAGTATGTTTGTGTTCAGCTGTAGCTTAGCTTTCCTCTCAAACCATTGCCCTTTACAGGGCAGCTGGAGGCTGAAGCCATCTCCAAGCCCAAGGCTGCACTGCAAGGAGCAGAGCGCATCAGCACTGCACACACCATACAATTTTAATGCCCTTTCAGTTTCCAAGGATACAAAAAACAATCAATCAGCCGCAATCCCTCGCTGCGGGTCTGGAGCTCTGTGAGGCAGCTCTGTGCCCCAGCCTGGGACAGTGCAGGGATCACATCACACTGGTGAGCTGGAGCACCCACATCCCCACGCTGTCATCCCTGGCCCTTGCAGGTGTTGTATCCCAGCCACATGCACAATGGAGCTGCTCATTGTTGCAGAGATAAACTGCACCAAGCAGAGCCCTGAGTCCCGCCACAGCCAAACAGGACAGAGACCAGAGACTGAAAACAGTCACGGGCCACACACCAGGGTGATGGGAGTGCTGAGAGCAGGGCTGGGAACCACACAGAGCAAACAATTTATTAGCTAGTTCTAAAAAACATCTCTGTTAAATTAGGCCTGTCCAGATGTGACATGGAGACAGATTGCACTGATGACAGGGATGTGATTGCACCCGTGACCTATGGCTGAGTGTGCTGCTGTAAAACCCAGGACAGAGGGAAGGTATTAAGGTGAATTAGTGTTTATTATTTATACGGTGCCCACAGTTAGTCAGGGTGGTGCAGACAAGCGTAAAGTCAAGGGCACCACACAGTGCTCTGGAACTGACAGCCCAGCTGACAGCAGGCACTGGGAGCATAATTTAGGACTTTGCGATGAGGTGACAGCCTTACAGCCTCCAGCAGCAGTAGCAGAAGGGGAGAGCAGGCAGGGCTGAGTGCCAGGAGGCGCATGGTGTAGCCTCTGTCCCACCTTGGCTTTTGTGCCTTTTGGAGAGGTGGAGTTCTCTGGCAAACTGGCAGGCTCCGTCCCCAGGAAACCTGTCTGTTCTCCCTCCCCAAAAAGCCCCCTGTCAGCAAAATGCTTCTAGTGCACGAGGGAGTGAGCACTGCCCACCCAGGCAGTTCCAGGCATGCTGGCTGGGGCTCCAGGGCTGGCATCCTGCAGAGCTACCGTGGTTCCCCAGTGTCACAAAACAAAACAAAAGCAGTAGAGCAGACTCAGGCTTGATAAAGAGAGTCCTGGCTGAGTGATGCTGGCTGTTCCATTAATGGGCCCCCATCAATATAGGAACCCATTACCTAAATGGCTCTCTTACTCTAGGTGCCCAGGCTCCTTCTGTACCCAGCTGAGAGAGGCCGGAACATCTTGAGAGCTATTTAGCCCACTCAGCTTGATGGGAAGAACAATCCTCCAGCAGCACTTCTCTCTCCCTTGGCCGCAGAGGAACAAAGGGCCCAGCACGGAGTAGCTTCAGACAGCTTCAATTGCCCCCTCCCCTGAGCAGGAGGCTCTGCTCCTCACAAGGAGCTTAACAATGGCACAGAGACAGCAAATCCAGCCAGGATCCATGACAGTGGGAGAAAGTGAAAGAGAAGCAAATGCAGAGAAACTTCAGAAATAACCAGGGAATCCTCTTGAGTTAGTAGCAGTGCTCCAGGGCAGTGTTGGCATTTGCTTTGCAGCCAGAATGGACAGGGAGGATTGAACTCTCATACGGTGTGACCCCTTGGGTGGACCTGTACAGAGGATGAGGCTGTCCCCAATCCCTGCCAGTGGCAGAGCCACCCTCTGGTGCCCCTCAGCACCCATGACACAGCCTCTAGCCCCATCAACAGGCACATACAAGCAGCTCAGCTGGACTTTTTGAAGAGACATAAAACATTTGCAAAATGTTTCCCTGTGACAATAAATTAAACAGCAGCTCCTTACCACGGGAGGGCTCACTCCAGAGGCAGCTCCTGGTGTCTTATTTCAGATTATGATCACATTAGAATGGCCACGGGCTGGCTGATCGAAAAGGGGGCCTCCCATCAAGAGATCATTATATCTGCCTGAGCCTGCCTGAATCCTAGCACAGATCCTCCACTGGGAATATGATGTCCTTGTGGCTGTTCTTCCCAGGAAGGGAACAGGATCTGCTTAGAGCAAATAGAAGCCATTACAATCAGGATAAATTAGTAATGGTGAGTGGGAGAGAGAGAGGAGGGAAGGGAAAGAGCTTATTGTGATTTTTCTTGCTATAAAGTGGGTGTCTGAGCTACTTATATTGCCAGAAAACAGCTCCCTGGCTTCCCCTCCGCATCCAGAGTTCAGACTGCTTGCTTACAGCTCAAGAGCTCCTTTGGATTGTTAACAACTACTATAATGGTATTATGGGTTGTTAGATGCATGAAATCTGATTTCTGTTCCCCCTGGTAGCATCTCAAGTTCAGCAGCTGCACGGGCTGGTGTGCAGAGAGAGGAAAGCACAGAGCAGCCGCTCTGTTCGGCACCTTTCATCACAAGCTGCCACGCCTGTTAAGGATTAGTTGTGGGGGTCTTTGAGGTGCTGCAGGGGGTAGGACTTGTGGCTCTGTGCTGTTGTATAGTTTCCATTTGCCAAGTAATTCACTAAACCCTGACAGCAGTCCTGGAAAAAAAAAGGAAAACTGCCCCACAGAAATGCCTTCATGCACAGGATTCCTTCCTTTCCTCCTAAAGCAGGGCTGGTTTAGCTAGTTTGGGTCCACACAGAGGCTGAATTACCACAGCCCTGAGACAAGTTCAACCATAATATGATTTTACATTTTAAAAAGCAAATAGCTGGCTGCTTAAGCGAGCACATATTTCAGGTCACTTGCAGGGCAGCGACTGAACATCAGCCCCTTTCCAGCAGGAATATTTACTGGAGCCCTCAGGCATGAACCTGCTGAGGCCAGCCAACCTGGCAAGCTCAGCTCCTGCTCCTGTTTGTGTTTTTCCACTCCTGGGATGCTGCTGCCTGCTGACAGCTTCACCCTTCATTCAGACTTTACTATCTGACATGAGGCATTTCAGCTGAGTGAATGGGAAATTAATGCAAAACAAAAAAGAGCTTGGGCTGGGCTGCCAGACTCCTGGCAGGGCTCCTGAAGGAGACATATCCAGCTCTCCATCATTCCCATCCCTCTCCCAGAAGAAAGAGATCTCATATAAACCATTTATAGTAATTTCTCCATGGGTCTTCTGGAGACTGATGCTCAGTTTTTGCACTTCAACCAACCAACCAACCAACCTGTTCAGAAGCATGGGTGAAGGTGGCAAACACCCCAAAAGTGGGAATGGCCACTCTGGAGTTGCCCACTGTTTCTCAAACCTTGTTTCTCCAAAGGAGCCATCTCCTGCTCAGGACAGGCCAGGAGCTTGTCCTGCTGTCCCAAAACTCTCTGAGTCCTCCTGTGGCCCCACAACCTTCACCCTGGCAGACCTGCTGCTTCTGGCAGAGCCACCAGTTCCAGGAACCTCCCAAAAATGCCTCCCCTGGGAAGCAGTGGCTGCTCCTGGCTGACCTTGTGGAAGGGATTTCTGTTTCTGCTCTCCAGTGGTCAGCAGATCTGGTGCAGCAGCGATGCTGCTGGGAGCTCCACGAGCACAGACCAAAATCTGGGCACTGATTCTGCAAGGCCTTCCACAGTGAGCTTCCCAGTTTCTGCTGACCACCTCTGTGACACTGCTTGGAGGGACATCTGCTCCCAGGCATCCCCTCTAACACCCAAGGGGTGCAGCATAAGCAGGTGGAAAAGAAAAGGGATTGAGCCATGAGAAATCTTCAAGTACAAACCAAACAACTAAAACAAATAATCCAACCTGGTGCTGAATACACTCATGCTTAGTTATCAGGATCAGAAATGTATTTATTCAGTTTTTGATACACCAGTCTTTGATACATTTTTTGACTTAACAAACTTGCAAAAATGCAGCATTTTTTAATTTCAACAGATCACGTTATTACAAGGGTTTATTTAGCCAGCAATTTTTATCTCCAAATCTCTACAGTACTTCAATTTTTCCCTGTCTTGGTGAAGGATAAAGCTAGGCAAATATTTAGTAATGGATAATTAATTAATCCACTTCTTTCCATCTCTGCTGAAACACTCATTCAAGATTCAACAATTCTTTATTTCTCTTCTTTAGTTGGCTTCTAAACTATTTTCAATAGTTTCTGATACCTGTAATTACTCATATTACATATTGAATGGCCGTGGGGCACACATTGAAGCAGAAATACTTCCCAGAATTTTGCTTTTTCTCCATTTTCTTTTAATCCTGGAAGATTTCCAATAAAAAGTTACATAAATCAGACATAACCTAGAAGAGAGCACATTGGCTAACAAATGCAGAAGCCTCATGGAAAGCAGCTGCCAGCTCTGCTGCAGGTGCTGAGGTTTGTGTTTGATGTTCAAAGGATGGCACTGCACTCCTGGGCCCACTCAGTCCCTGGGTCACTCCTGTGTCCAACGAGAGCCCAGGGGTCACTCAGCTGCCACTGCTGGCACTGCACCTTCCCTCATGTGCAGGGAAGGGAGAGGCACAAACCACATCCACTGGCAGCACAGGCTCTCACCTTTGCACATAGCTTTGCTTGACCCTTTCTACAATGAACTAGTAAATACAGTCAGAAAACTTTCCATCTGTTTTTCTTTTATTTTCACCAGTTAGAACCCTACTCTTGTGCCATCAGCACACACTTGCAGGCCAGAGTCTCTGTGAGGTCCAGCATTCACACAACAAATGTCAGCATCATAAACCACAAGCAAACAGGCCATTAACCTTGTACCCACAAGATCCTCTGCTCCTCCACAGGACACTGGCAATAAATGTGCCTTAAATCATTTTATGTTAAAGTGCTTTCTGTGCAGTAAGTGAAACAGAGAGCATAGCAAATTTTACTGCCCCAGAATCAGCTGTGTGACAAAAGTGTGTGTGGTTTGGCAGTGTAATCTTTTACTCTGATAAACTATTAAATGCCAAAGAAAGCTTCTTAAGTTAATCAGGGTTTAATTTAAATAAACAAGCCAGCAAAAGATTAACAAAAAAATCCTCAATGGAATCTGAATACAAAAATAGTCTCACAAAGTCCCATGCCAAGTTCATAAAAGTAACTCTGCTGGGATGAACTGGCCCACTGACCCCCTTTTATCCCCTTCCTGGCACCACCAATGTTAATCTTCTGACACACCAACACAACCATTTCCAGCTCCACTGATGCAACCAGCACTGCAACCAGCACTTTTGGCAACATTGCCATGCAGTATGCTGCATGAGGAGGAGGAGGAGGAGGAGGGTTAACTCTGCTGTCATGATGGAATCAGCTGAACCCACCAGGAAGCGACCAGGACCTGAGACAGAGCCCCTGCTGCTACCAACCACTTCCCCAGCCACAGCAGAAAGTCTGTCCCCAGGAATATCCCCGTCCCTGGGCACAGGGAAGCACCCTGGAGGAAAGCAGCAGTGCTGTGGGTAACTCCACTGCTGCAAGCCACCAGCCACCCACTGATGTGCACATCAATTCCAGCTCAACCCCCCCTGAGACCAGGGCTCCTCAGCAGGTCAGGTACACACATGTATAAATATTCACACGTTCAGCACCTAAGGTAAAGATTGTATTGTTTTTAAACTCTCAACTCAGCCCAGTATCGTTATTTTATCCCACAAAGGTAATAAATGACCAAATCTTGGTAAACAAAACATGTCAGGCTGGACCCCCTACAAAGTATTTGTGGCTGATGTTACAGATGTATCAGCTCCTTCATTACACAGTCACTGCTTAATTCTGTTGCTCTGTGGACTCTCTCGTGGTGATTTTATTACTGTGTCTGGTGCATTTCCAATTATTGCCTTTTTCCAACTGCAAAACCACTTTAATTATTTCTTTTTTCCCATGAAAGCTGATTATATCCCAAATGTTTCCATTTAAAGAAAAAGTCTTATTACTCTAAGTGTACATTTTTCCATTCATTTATTTACAACCATCTTTACTAAGCCGAAAATTCACAGTAGGCTTGAGTTAAATAAAATCAATCCATTAAAGAAGAATATCAAAATAATCAGAGAGCCAAAATCTAAAGTAGGATAGTTATAAAAATTATTTCTTCATGACATTTCACCTGCCCTTTGGCAAAAATGCCTCATTTTAACACAACAAAATTTAACACCTCTTTTGCTTTTCTGTTATTTGAAGCACAATGAAAATAGGTACAAGATGACCAACTGACTAAAGAAAAACATTCTATTTAATCACAGTATGTACATCCAGAATAGAAATTACAAAGCTGCAATTCAAAATGTATTCACAACACCACTCCACCACGGTCAATGTGCCACATGTAAAGATTGTTTGCAAGCTACTGGCAAAAGGGGAATCCCAGCCACTGACAACTCACTAGCAGGCATCAGGTGAAAGGAAGAGGGGAAGGGCAGCAGGGGATGCAGATGCAGGAGACCCCCAGCAAAGTGCAGCTCTGCACTCCCTGCACATTCACTCACTCCCCACTCACCTCTGCCCCCAGCTCCCAGGATCTCCTGTGCTCCAGTGAGGTTGTCACCTTCCACCCCTGACCCCAGGCTAACGTGGCACTGCCTCCTACCTCATTAGTTCATATTGAAATGTTTTGCACACAAGGCATTGCAAAGGCCCCTTAGCAATGTACTCATATTTTACATCTGGGCAAACAGTTTATATTGCACTCAAACTCTCACAAAGAGACTTGCCTGAGGTCTCTGAGGAAGCCTGTGGGAAAGCCAGGAAAACAGTCCCTGCTTGCAAAATCCCACTATCTCTAAGAGCATCCCTGCACTCTTTCAGATTAAAGCACAAAGAAATTAATATATCAAATTCCTCATTGTCATCCTCCTCAGGTTTCTTCATTTTCTGCTGCAAATAGTCCTCTCTTTCTTTAGATGCACCTTGGAACTCAATTTTCCTCACGTTAAAGAGGTGTTATCACAGGTGACAAATGCAAAGCTCCCATTCTCAAACTGTGCTGGTGATTTGGAGCAATTGTACACCAAGTACAAAGTGTACCCCTTGCAGGGAGTATGAATAATACCATGCTGCTGCTTCAGTACAACTACGTCTCTGCAGAGAAGAAAAATGGCACAAGAAATGGTAAAAAGAAAAAAGTATCCATATCTCCTTTTCCTTCTGCCAGTGTTCCCAGAGCTTAATGGAATTCAAATATACTGAATACATAAATGATTAAACACAAAGGCAAATTAAGTTTCTTCTTGGTTAAAATCGTGTCTGGCATCAGTTTGGCATCTTCCATGTCCTCTGGGAGTGGATTAGTACTGAACATTAACACCTCCAAGGTGATGCCCATTGACTGCCTTATTACCCTGACACTTGCAGCCCTGTGGATTCCTCCCTGCTGCAGGAAGCTTCCTAATTCTAATGAGCACATCGGGCATTTCCATGGCACCACCAATGGGTTATTTCAGCTTTTTCCTCCCTGCCAGTGAGCGCAGTGGCAGCAATCCCTCGATCCATTCATTGGCAGCCAACATCATCTCCTGCCAAAAGGCCACCTCCTCCTGTGTGGAGTCCATCCAGTCCACAGAGATGCCATAGCTCAAACCTGAAAAGAATGAGAAACTTTGGGAGCTACACAAAGAGTTCCCACTCCATGCAAAAGTACTCCATGGGATGCAACTGCTGCAGGCAATGCCTTAATATAAAAGCTGCTGACTCCCCCTCAGCAAGCTGCACCCTGAGCACCTCCTCTTTTCTTGCAAATGCCCGTGCTACACCAGAGTTCAGAATGAAGTCATTGCAAAGGCCATAAAATGCAAGAACCCTAAACATAACCTGCCAAGGAAAGCCATATTGGGCTCCAGCCTTTTCTGCATCTTTTTGAATGGTAAGAAAGGCCTTAAAGGCTTGGTTTTCCTCTTCAAAGATTTTCTTGTAGACAAGGTGGAGTATTCATCAAAATTCTCTTGTTTCATTTCTATAGAAATCAAAAATACCATAACAGAGAAGTGTGTACATCCATTCCAATTCAACCAAAATTTTAGGTGCTAATTATTTGTCAGTGAGAGAGAAGTCTAAATTTAGATCACAGCTAATCTCGGGTTTGGTATTTTTATGTCTTATTCTTGTTGCTCCTTCCTTCTGGAGAGTTCACAACCCACCTGGTGACATTAGAGGTGGAAAAGAGAGAACATACAGGAATATCCAACAGCCACAGTGTGTGCACCTGCCAGGCAGAGCTTCCAGCTGCCATGAGCCTTGTCCCCCAGGGAACACTTATCCTGGATTGCAACCCTGTGTGATCTCTCAGAGAGCACCTCAAGGATGGACAGTCACCAGGTGGTGCTGTCCCGTGTGACATTCCAGCCCACCCCTGAGAACTCTTCCCTGGGAGCAGCACCAATAAAATGTTGGTTTGTCATGCAGCCCGTTTTCCTGTAACAGCAGGAAAACTCTCTTGAGTTTTGCCAGACCTCAGATCTGATGTTGGCAGAAAATGTGGGAACAGAGAGCTGCTGCCATGGCACCAGGGCCCCCTCCATCCAAGACACAGTGCAGGTCCCAGCTACTGAGACACCCCATCCCTGATGTCATTGTGATATTTTATGAAAATCCTTTTGCCAGGATTTTTCTCCTGAGAAGCTGAGAAGCCTCAGAAAAGAAATGTAAACAATCACCTATCTGATTGCTTTGGAATGTGGTCTGGAGATGGTTTACCAACAGGTGCATCTTTGATTGGTCTCATGTGAATTGTTTTTACTTAATCAACAATCACAGCCAGCTGTGTCAGACTCTGTCATGGTTTTTATTTATTCCTTTCCTAGCCTTCTGATGAAATCTTATCTTCTATTCTTTTAGTATAGCTTTAGTATAGCATATATCATATCATATCATATCAGCCTTCTAAAAAATATGAAGTCAGATTCATCTCTTCCCTTGTCCTGGGACCTGTGAACACATCCACACCTTGATTTCTTTCCAACAGGAAAATACTCTGTAACTTCCCACTTTACCTTGCAGCCCAGCACTACAGTAACAGTTTTGAGTTAACATAAAGGAAAACACTCACCTGTCCCAAGGCCCAGCCTGATTCCTCCAAGGAAATGGTTGGTAAGCTTTTCGTGATCCCACACCGTGAGTTCAACACAGGCATCCTTCAGATCCTCCGTATGGAAGCCATCATACACAATGGTGTGATTGAAAACAGGGTTTGTGTCTCTCTTTATGACTCGGGTCTTTTGGTAGCTCTTCTTACTGGTGTCTGGAAGCACATAGCTTTGGGAGGAGAAAACACACAGCATGAAGCACTGAACACTGACCAAGAGCTTTATCACAGCAAGGATTTCCCCACTTTCCCTACAGGTGAATAACAAGGGCAATTCTTCCCTACACTTCTCCCAGTGCAACACAAAGGCTTTCCAGTGTGGAGGCACAGCTTGGTGAGCTTGAGAGCAGAGCAGGAAGCAGAGCCTTTGAGGGGCCCAGGGCAGGAGCAGCACCGTGCTCAGGCACTCACCACTTCACAAAGGAGTCAACTCCGGATGGACGCAACTGCAGCAGGTCCTTGACGTCCTTGACCCAAATGTGAACTTCGCCAGAGGGAGGATTCCTGGGCCCTGCCGTTTATGAGAGGAGAAAAGCTGTCATGCCAGCCAGAGCCACAGCTCCCAGAGTGACAGGGCTCCTCTCCAGGGACCCGTGGGACGCACACGGTTCCTGTGTGCTCACTGCCCCTCCCTGGGATCTCAGCACTGCAGCCAGCTCCGTCACTGCTGCAGCTGCAGAGGCTCCTGGCACAACCTGCCAGTGCTGTGCCAGACAGGAAAAGAGATGGAACTGCTGAGCCAAAGCAACCTTGTGCCTGCCCCACAGCAACAGGGTTCTGTGCTGCTCCTACCTCACCACAGCACCCTACGGTGCCCACATGCTCACAAGTTGGAGGTTGTTGAGCCCTTCCTCTCTCCCCAGTACTTTCCCAATAAATCCAGATGTGGAAGTCAGATGTAGGCTGCAGGCAGTGCTGTCAAACACTGCATTTGTGCTGATCTCTAAGATCTTGCCCTAATGAGATTGCTCTTTAAGCAGCCCCTAAGCAGATGAGGCATTGCAAGCTGTGTGTTTGCACTTGGGCAGTAGCCCTTAATGCATGAACCACACTTACCTAGGCTTCCAGGGGGGACATACTTAATGGACAAGCTCATCACTCCTCGATGATCCACACCATTAACAGCAGAAAGGCTCTGAAATGGAAAGAGTTATGACTGACTAAATGGAGGATTGTGGAAACACAGCAAGGCAAACAGCTTTTGACTTCAGTGGAGGAGCACAAATGGACAAACTCCGATTTTCCATGGCTGGAGCAGCCCACTCTTAGGGCAGGTCATTTCTCTGTGGGTTTGTTCTCAAACTCAGTCTTCTCAGAAGCGAAAGCCTGAGGATTCAGAGTACAAGGCTGCCCTTCCAGACATGTCCAGCTGGATATAATTAAGCATCTTTGTTCTGAAAGATAAATGTCCTCTATTTGCTTAAAAGGGACCTCATATCAGACCTGTGAATCCAGAAGCAAGCAGGAAGCTGTACAGGCTTTACAAACAGTAAAACAGGCACATGAATATTTACCTCTCAAAGCACATCATCTGCTTCACCTAGTACTCTGCTGGTTTTAAGACTTTAAGATTCTGCTTTTTTTTTAGTCTTCATGTGAGTGGAGAGAATGGCAAAGTCATGTCAAAGTTGCAGTGATTAGTGTCAGGTTGCATTTATGAAAGTGTCCCTGCAGACCAGTCACCAAAACAGACCCGAGAAGGCCACTGTTCTGAGCACTGAACTGCACTAAGGTGTCCAGGGCTTGCTCCCTACTGCAGTTCATGTGGTTCTGCTCCACCCAAAGACCTCAGAGGAGTCAGGAAGGACTACTGCCAGCCTCAAGGCTTCAGGGCTGGGCCAGAAAGCAGGGCTGCAGCTGAGACACTTACCCGGGGCTTCAGCGGGTACCAGTTGAGTTTCCTGTTGCTCCAGTCCCAGCTGGCCAAGTCTATTTCAATCTCTCCCAAAAAACTGTTACGTCCCAATGGATCATTGTGCCAAACAGAGAGATTTAATTTTTGGATCAGCAATACCATTTTCTCTATTTTATACTAGAGGAAGAAAGAGAAGTCAGGTTGCTCAAATTTTTCTTCTGTTTCTTTCACAAACAGAAATAAACTACTCAAGAGCTTGAATAAGCTCAGAGACACTCAAATCCACCCCACACACGCACTACCAATGGAATGGCTTCAGTCTGAACATCTCTTTTGTTGTCCTGTAGCAATACTACTGCCCTGATAAAGCTTTTCTGCTGAGCACAGGGAAACCTGGCGTTCCATTCATCACAGGGAAAAACCAATATTCTTTCAAGAATTATTAACACAGGCCTGGCCATTGTTAAATAATCCTCTATGCTTTGATGAGTATGATCACATAATGCAGACCTTTCTTACCAGTCCTGTGCCTTGTGACTGCATGCCAGGGAAGGAGGAGGACAAACAGCCCTTGCTCTGACTGCAGGACCCTATTGCATCCAAAAATCTGTGTGGTTTTGGGTGCCACACAGATGGGTGCAGATGAACCTTTAACATCCCAGGCCTCTCAAACCCCAGGGAAGAACAATGCAGACTGGCAGGAGGCAGGCAAACAATCTGGCCAAGAAGGCAGGATCTTTCCAGACCTGCCTGACAGAGGTGCCTACTGCCACAGAGGTTTTCAGAGTGTGTGCTTGTTCTTACCCGTAACACCTCATTGTAAATGGGGTTCACTGTCCTCTTCTTCACTGATGTTTTCCTCTTACCCATCCTAGCTTTGTCTGGGAGCAGGTAAGTTTTAACATACCTAGAAAACAAACTCCAGTTGGATATTGCCCCACGTTGCCATGCTCTCTAGGAAGCTGGCAGGAAGGAAGGAAGGAAGGAAGGAAGGAAGGAAGGAAGGAAGGAAGGAACCATTACATTTAAAGAAAATTAAAGCCCTCCAGAAGACAGAACTCAGGAATGTAGAAGCCACAAGGCACTAAAACCTCACTCACGGGTCAGATCTGCCTTTCTTCTCATCCACGACAGCCAAGTCCTTGCACTGGGACACGTGGACCTGGAACTCCCGGTTCTTCTCATCATAGTCTAGAGCAAATTCCACGGTTCCTTGGGCATCCACACTCCCAAAATCGCCACTGTAGACACTTAGCACACTGCCACTCACCTGCCAGGGGGAAGAGCAAGGTCAGTGCCACTGAAACAGGCACAGTCTGACTGGACAAAGATGAGAGTCTGAGAAATGCATTCCCAGAGAAAAACTCTGGGCTCCTGCCCTTGTGCAGTGCGGTGCTCTTGACACAGAGAGGGTTCACAGCTGTGGCTGCTCCCAAGCAAGCCAGGGCTGGGGAATCCCTATAATGGTCTCACAAGGATGTGCTATCCTAGACCAGAACTTAGAAACAATGAATGCTCAAGAAATACAGAAGTTTTTTCACTCCTAAATCCCAAAACTTTGGGAAATGGACTCAGATGTTCCTGGGGGGACCACACATGTCTCTCCCCTATGCTTACAGAACAAATAACTGATATCCTGACACAATCTCATCTCTAAGAAAGAAAGATATTGAGAGAACTTGAACTATATTATAAAAACTTGTTATTTTAGGTAGATATAGTCACACAATTGTCAATCCATTTACAAAACAGGCTAATTAGAACCCTATCAGACTAGAAATGTAGGAAGAACTATTCCTATCTTGTTGCTTAATCACAAAGTGCATGGTGCAGCACAAAACAGATACAGCACTGTTCTAAAGAGCCACTGCCCACCAGAGACAGCCTGTGCTTGCTCCAAAGGCACAGGAACATGAGGTTTCTCCAGATAAAAATCTGGAACTAGGCACCCAGGAGTTATTTGCTTTCCCAGAAAAAAACTGCAATTTCCCCAGACAACTTGGGCTTGTTTTTTCAGGTCTTTGTCTTTCACTGATAGAAAGTCACAAAGCACAAGCAAAGCTCAGCTACAGAAAGCTGAGATAATTTTCTCTTGCACCAATCACTCATGATTCCTGACAGGATATCATAAAAGCTAATGCTGTTTACAAAGCAAATCATTAACTCTCTTGGCACTTCTCTGTGGTACCGTCATAAACATTTATCAAAAAACCTTCCTAGTAATTAACCCAATTCTTCTCTGTCTTTCCCGACTTACTTTGGTTCTGAATTTTATTATAACCTCCAAAAACCTGCTGAACATCTCCAGTCAGTCCTTGGAGCTGCATTTACCATCCCATCAGGATACTCACCCCAGCAGAGAATCCTGAATGAGATTTTCAAGAACACTTGCATGACCTGGACTCATTTTCAGCTCCCAGATGCTCCAAATTAGGAGAAGAACTCATGTGCCCCAAAATATTTAATATAGTCATCTACATTCATGACCTCTCCCTACCAGCTTTTCTTCACATATGTTCTGTAAATCTTAAATATACTCCTTGGAGAAATCTGCAACAGTAACACAGCAAATCCAAGCACTTTTAAGCAGCTCCCTCCCCAAATACTGTCTCTAAGGAGTCTTTTAAAAACTCAACTAAACACATTCAGCTTTCTTCAGCTTTCCTTAGAAGCTGAAGCTCCAAAACATGCTTTTGCTGTCCAACTCCGAGTTCCCTTGTACCTGCTGATAAAGATGAGCTTGCAGAGGGTACCCATCTGCATTCCTGAAACACAAACATGTCCCTTAACAGTTGTGTGCCTCATTTTCCCACCTAGAAACCCCCTCCCCACCTTCTGCACCAGCAGGACTCAGAGCACCCACACCTGGCAGCGGGGGCTGTTGCTTGCGGGGAATTTGACCAGCCATGACTCAGTGGGTCTCTATTTTGAGGTGGCACCTGAGCAAGTAATTCATCACCCCGTTCCTTTAACAATGTAGAAACCAACAGGCTGCTCTGGAGGCCACACCAGCAGCAGCAGCCTAAATGCAGCGTCACTGCAGCGGGCTGAGCAGCTCTGGCCAGGAGCCGGAACCCACCGAGGAGACACAGGCCACGTCAGAACCTACCGAGGACACACAGGCCACGTCAGAACCTACCGAGGACACACAGGCCATGTCAGAACCTACCGAGGACACACAGAGGCCATGCCAGAACCTACCAAGGACACAAAGGCCATGTCAGAACCTACCAAGGAGACACAGGCCATGTCAGAACCTACCGAGGAGACACAGGCCACGTCAGAACCTACCAAGGACAAACAGACCATGTCAGAACCTACCGAGGAGACACAGGCCATGTCAGAACCTACCAAGGACACACAGGCCATGTCAGAACCTACTGAGGAGATAGAGGCCACGTCAGAACCTACCGAGGAGACAGAGGCCATGTCAGAACCTACCGAGGAGACACAGGCCATGCCACAACCTATCGAGGAGATAGAGGCCACCTCAGAACCTACCGAGGAGACAGAGGCCATGTCGGACGAGTGGCTGCCAGTGCTGGGTGCCTTCTTGTGCCTGCTCAGCTGGACGCTGATTTCCGAGGCCGTGTCTGATTCCGTCTGCTCAGAAAAGGAGAAGCAGCTTTAAGCTGTGCCGAAGGAGCACTTTGCAGCACCGGAGAGAAAAAGGAATTGCTCAGCAGAGTGCCATTAGCAGAGATGAGGTTAGGAGAGCGGAGGAGAGTGCAGGGAGCCTCCCCAGGGCATCCCTGAACGTCATCATTCACTGCCTCCAAACACAGCTGCATGCCCCGCCTGGGCTCCGGGAAAGGGCAACAACAGCGTGGCTTGAAACACAGGGCAACATCCTCCAGGATGGAACTGCTGCCCTGGGCTGCTGGGGGTGTTTTTCTTAAGGCATTTCTCATTTATTCATGACATAATCAAGGCATGCTCTAAAGCAAGTACTGTTGGTCTCCAGGAGAAACATCCTCATGACACCCACTGCCATTCAGGGGATGCTGTGAATATTATTTCAGCCATTTCTGGCATCAACCCACCTCAGACAACAGGAGAGGAGAGGATCTGCTCAGTTCTTTGACTCTTTCAGGTTCAAGAAATTGATGTGGTATCAAATGAGGTTTATTGTATGCTGCAGGTACAAAAAAAGGCATCAAGATAGCTCATCAGAATCAGGAAATTATAAGTCACACTTGTATTAAACGGCACAAGGAAGGAGGAAAAGCTTGTGGAAGGCACTGGAGTACTACCTACTTGCTCTGTCTCTGTCACCTGTCATTGAAGCTGATCCTCCCCAAGACAAAAACTGCTAATTAACATCCTGGAGCTATTTTCAGTCCTTTTTCATTCACTGCGTGGGAGTGTGGAACTCCCTCTAGTGGCTCATCTAATTCCCTCATCGGCACAAGGACGAGGATGTTGCCTGCTTTGTGTAGACTGAACTTACACTAAACCCACCCAAATTGGCCTCCTTGTCAAATAAACCAATCATGTTCGCATTTTTATCTCACAGAACACTGCCCTGTAGAAAAGAGCACTAAAATATTTATACCCACAATTTCACCACTGCATACACCTCTCAAATACTCTGCTAAACACAAAGATGGACAACAGCCAGATTATCTAAAAGAAAAAAGTTAGAAAGTTTCCTATCAATAGAAAGATGGTTACTGTACTGCTTAAATGTCTAACCAAAACTTAGTTTTTGTATCTTTACCTTCTTCCAATAACTCTCTTGAAGATGACTTTCTCCATCCCAGAAGAATTTGTTTTGGAAACGTAAATGTACATGAACACGCATGTTCATATACACACACTTGTTTGGCATTTTAGGCATGATGATACATTCTTTGGTGCTCAGAATGCCCAAGAGATTCTTGACTTACCATTCATTTGATATTTACTGTTTTTATTTCCAACCTTGTATAAATAATAGTATACACAGATTATTTGCTATACTGCAAACATGAAACTGTAACTGTTACAGAAGGGTTTCCAAGGATGAGCTTTGGTGCTCTAGATAAGGGGAAGCTGAAATCTTGGTTGTCTTGGTGGAGACCATGTCCCTGGACAGCAATGTGGGGCCTGGAGCTCTGAGCCACCTTGCCCAGTGACATGCCAGGCACCCTGAGATGGGGCAGTGCCTGGCACGAGGTGCCCCAGGGCTGTGCAGTGGGACCTGCCAGCAAGCTGCCTCCCTCCCATAACCAGCCTTGACTTAAACTGGCTCAATCAAAGCCTCTGAGTGGCTTTACCTTTACTTTTCCTTGACCATTGCCTTCCCATGCTCCTCATTTCAGTCCTGGCAGCCTTGGCCTCACCACTTCCCTTTGAGGCAAGCTCTTAGCTGTCTTTTTGGGCTTGCCAGCTTTCACCCTCTGGGGATTGTCATTGGCTTTCTTGGGCACAGAGGCTGCTGCTGCCTTCCCTCAGGTGCTCTCCATGGCTGCAGCTTTCTTGGGCTCCTTCAGGCAGGCTGCTGCTTCCTCGGTTGCCTTCTCCTCAGCTTCTCTGGGTTTCTCAGGAAGAGACTGTCACCATAAAACATGTCCCAGCTGGGGACATCAGTGTAGCCACGGGCTCTGCTCTGGATGAGGGAGAGGCCTCATGAGCAGGAGCCACAGCTGGCCCCAGGTCTGGCACCTCGGATCAATCCACAGGCTGCCAGCAGATCCCACAGCCCTCGTGCAGGAACAGGAGAGGTGAGCACAAGCTTCTTGCCAACCCTTTGAAGCCCTTGTGTTTTTGCTGAAGTAACAAACCATCAATCTAGCTGTAATTTCCTGGCTCTGAATTTAATTTTAGGCAGTATAAACTCTCTAATTTGATGATGAAACAATATGTCATTTTCCTAGCCTGGTACATGCACAGAAGCATGGTGATGAAAAACTGGCATAATATATTACCTTCAGCAAATGTAAACCAGAAAGAAGAAAGAAAGATGTTACTCACTCTCTGTGGTTGTGTAAATGTTCACCATGCTCTTTGCAAGATTAATGCTATTTGCTCGGGCCAGTGCCTGAGCAGCAGGAGAATGATCCCCATCTTCCTCTGGAATACACAAAAAGCCAAATCAACACGGTGAATAAATAAACACAAATGGGCAGTGCATCAACAAGCCCATGTGTGTGTGTGTGCCTCCCCTTGTCCCACTGCCCAGAGCACACTGCAGCCACACTGCACATTGCTTCCCAATCATCCAGGTGCTCTAATGTCCCCCCTGAGAAAACCTCTTCACACTGTGTCAGGAAATGTAAATACTGGATTAACCCAGTCCCCAAGACAGACCAACTCTCGTGAAGAGCTTTCAGAGAAACAGAGCCACCTGCTAATATCATCCTGGAATAAATGAATGAAAAAGCCCTGAGAAACACCAGAATGATCTAATGTATAAATGGTTGGACTTAACGATCTTAGATGCCTTTCATAACCCAAAATATTCCATAAAGAAAATATTTACAATGGCCTGAAGTGCAACTCAGGATTTTCAAAGGAATGTTATATGAGGTAGGAAATAAGCCAAGAAATGACACAATGAAAAAATAAAAATCAGATGAGTCTGTGGAAAACCCTCTCAAATAGGTCTTATCCAGATACATGAGGACAGAAAATTTGGAAAAAGGGAAGATGCTCTCTCTTCGTAGGACTTTACTTGGAAGAGAGCAGAGCTGCGGGTGATTAGAGCCCAAATGTAAAGTGAGTTGCAAATAACAATGTTTTCTCATAGCAATAGTCACTACAAGAGCCCATCAATTCCAGAGGAAGAGGCTGCTAAAATGGTGATGCTATTGACACCATCATGGTTGAGAACATGGTATCAGAACCCAGAAAGATCAGACTCCTTGTTCAGTCCACTTTGCTTAAAGTTTAATATTAAAGTTCACTTGTGCATTCCAAAAAGACACAAAATGTCATTTAGGCACTGAAAGCCAGTGGCTATATCAAGGTACTCTAAGAGCCTGTGTATTTATTAAACACTTTGCTTCACATTTTATTTCTTCTATTTGTGTTAGACTTATCTCTACTACTACAAAGAATTCTTCCAGTCCCACATTTGAAGAAAATACAGTCTTGCCAGTAAAATAAAGTGAGTTCCTGTGGTGTGCTGGAGGCAGTGGAGGGCTGTCCCAAGGTGAGGTGCTTGCAGGTAAGGCACAGGGGCTGGGAGTGGGGAGGAAAGCAAGGGAACATGGCACTAGGCTACACAAGACTTGTTTCCAGAGCTGTTTGCAGAACACATTCTACACAAGCTAACTCTGCACAAATTGCAATATAGGACAAATGGGCAGATGAAGAAAATGTGCACAATGCAGAAGGGTTAGGGAAGACAACCAGCTTAGGGATGGCTCTCTATTTGGATCTCACAGGGTGCAGTCACAGCCCTCAGTACCTGAGTAAACAGCTGAGTCTGTTCCCTGAACAGCTTCTCTCTCTCCAGATGGTTCACCGGGTGTTGGCTGGTCTGAAGACTTGCACATTTTTTCCTCAGGTAGCTCTCCATTTACTTCCATGTTGTCTTGCGTGCCCAAATCAGATCTTTCCTGTTTCTCACCATCACTTTCACCATCTGAGGGCACAGGCTCGATCAGTATCTGCACCGTGCTGGCCGGGGACCTCGCCGTGGGCTTGCGCTCTTCTGCCACGACCAGCTCCTCCACGGGTGTCCCTGTCAGCGTGCTGCCACACACATCCTCGGTGGGCGACTCCAGCTGGATGGAAGGCGCTCGCACAGGCAGTCTGGATTTCTTGGAGCAGTGCTGCACCACCTTCTCTTCCTCTGGCATCAGCACCTTCCCATTGCTTTCACTCAGCAAGTCATTTCTTGTAACCAGGCCCCCTTTGCTCTTGGCACATGTGGATCTGGGAGTGACAGAAGCTGAGGCCTTCCTTGCAGGAGTGGCGTAGCTTGGCTCTTCCTCGCTGGAAGACAACGTTATTGTCCTTTTGTGGGGGGTCCTTGTTTTGGTGAAGGCACCAGGTTTCTCTTCAGCATCCTGGCCTTGCCCAGCCTGCAGGGAGAGCGAGCGGCACAGCTTGAGCTGCCCGGCGTCTGCCGCCGGGCTCCCCCCTGCCGCCCCGTCTGCTCCCTTCTCCCAAAACTTCTTCAGGTTCCTGAAGTGCTCACGGTCCAGGCCGATCTCCTCCTCCTTGTTACTCATGGATGAGATCGTGTAGTTCACTCCCTGCCTGCCAGCCCAGCTGCTCTCCCCTGCTGTGGGCAGTGCTCTGGGGCCTGCCAGAGACTCCTCCTTTGCCAGGCTGTTTTCTGCTGGCCCCGTGTGATTCACAACCTGCTCACATCTGGGGAAGGTTCTGCTCGGTTTCTTCTTAACTGGTATTTTGCTGGGAGGATAAGTTTCTTCTGGTGGAGTTTTTGGCCCCTCTGTGGTGCCAGTGGCCCCATCAGCAGCTTCTCCTCCAGCTGCAGTGCTGGGCTGAGGCACAGCATCCTCTGAAGGCTTGGTGGGCAGTGGAGATACACCATGACCTACAAAAACAACAAAGGCTCAGAGCCTGTCCCACTGCATCACATCCAATCTCTCCAGAAGGTCTGGGCTGCAATTTCTCAATGAGAAGACAGGGGGAATTTTCAGAAATCATCAATATATTCCTAGTTCTTTTCCATATTCAGACTCTAGAAAGCTCCCTTCCATCTGAAGAAGGCCCTGAAAACCCCAGTCCTCCCTGCAACAGGGCACACAAAAAATCCACTGAGCTCTAAACTGTTGCTGCAAGTTGTGGATTTGTTTGTGGGCTCCCTTTCGATTTGACAGCTTCCCTGCTGGCTATTTGCTATGTTCCAAAACTACACTATGCAGTCAAGAGAGGGTAAGTCCTCTTGTGGATTAAAGAGCTGAGAGCCAAGCACTCAGTTCAGTGTTTACTGAGAGCCTGGAGAAGTTTCATCAGATTGCTTTCTGCCTTGGTCCCTGCTGCCCTGCCTGTAATTCACAGTGTTGGCACCCCATTCTTATATGCCAAGGTACTCTTTGTTATTTATTTGTACACACATTGAAAAGCATTTTGTCTCTTGGTGTTTGATGTTGAGTAACAAAAGCACCAATAGCTCACTGAACAAAAGACTTACCTTTTCCAGACAAATGAAAGCTGTTTGTGGCAGTCACAAAAGGACTTGTTCCAGTGTCACTCTCTGAGGAAGAGACATCATGTATGCTGGATCTCTGAGCAGAAAACAAATCTTATCAGTGTATAAAATACTGGCAAGACTGGAAAAAATATATTTTATTTGAGCAGAGACACCAGGGCAGGCAGCCTGTGGAGCCCCTGTCAGTAGGGATAGATTTTGTGAAGCTCCAAGAAGTAACAGAAGTGCAGAGGCTGTGCCTGTACTACCTTGTACGACGCAGACAACTGGACAGGAAGTCTTGGCTTTGGTTTTGGCAAAATTTTCTGCTCTGTGGTTTCAAGAGTAGGTGTACTGGATCTGTGGGAGAGGAGAAAAGGCTGAACAAGGAGGTCTGTGGTAATGATGTGCCTGTTTGGGTTCTCAGGCAGTCTTCAACATCACCTCAGTTCTGCTCAGATGCAGAACTTGCTCAAGAAAAACAATGTGTGTCAACTACTAGATTTATTCAGACTTTCCCCTTCTGGGAAGTGCCAGAAGAGCCCAAGGGCCATGCAGAAGGGAGAGACATTCTATGCTATGGCCCAGGAAGGAACAGGCCACACCTTGCTTAAGACTGAATGAGAAAAACAAAGTTAGCTTTTCAGGATTTAACCAACCCCCTGCAAAAAAAAAAACCACTGGGTGTTGTGCCAGCAAAGCAGGAGTACCCAGAGCCTGTTGCCTCTGGGTCCTTCATTAAACAACACCCACTAATCAGCTGCAAGAGGTTTCCAAGTGTTGTCAAGGCCCATATTTAATATTTAACTGGAGCAACTGCCACCTGTGGAGAATGATTCCTCATTCTGCTGACAAAAAAAAGGCAAGTAAGATGGGAACAACAATACATGAATATGTGAGTATTTTAAATGCTTCTCCATAGTCCATGGATATTGAGTGAGGTCACTGACTTGCTCATTGGAGTGCTTTTAATAGATGTTTCTGCTCAGTCAGCACAATGTGAAATCCTACCAAGCCTTGATGGAGAGTGCTGAGCACTGGACACAGAGGTTGGCACCAGCAGGAAATGAGCAGTTTCCTCAAACTGTTCATTTTGTTAGTGTTGCTCCATAGCAAAAATTAAACAAATAAAACCATAATTACTTTGAAAAACTAACCAGCACATCCTGACATTAGAGACAGCTTCCATTTTCCTGATCCCTTATCAAATCATGCAGGAAAAGACCTTTGTGGGATAAGCACATTAGCACTTGATTATTAGGGGTGGACTGATATTCTGACAATTCCTAGAAGAAGGACTTAAAAAATATCATATAGAACGTATTACTTATAGAGTCTTGGAAACTCGGAGACCAGGGTTTAATGGGTAGCATTCCATTTTCATTAGAAGTAAGAGCAGCAGCCTGAGCACTGCACATGCAGCAGTGTTACCTTCCCTCTCCTGCATCAGCAATGTCCTCAGGAAAGGCAGGGCTTGGAGCAGCTTTGCTTTCCAGGCTCGTCTGGATGTGCTTGTTGACCTCATCTGAAATGTAACAGAGACAACTGAGAAATGACATTTCATTAAACTTGTCATGTTTGGTGTGTTTTGTCTGGGGTAAGAAAATTCCTTGCCCAATGAAAAAGAGTCCCAATACAATCCCTGGAGGTTTAAGAGGAGAGGGTTTGCAGGGGTTCTGCCTGCTCTCCCCAAGGATGGGGAGGTCCCAGGACAACAAAAGCATTTCCAGACCCCACAGGTCCAAGAGGACAAAGCTGCCCAATGCCCAGCTCGTGCCAGGAGCTGTCACATCACTGGAAACCTCCACAGGACACTGCCATTGACTGTCAATAAAGTTAATCTGTTCCAGGATTTAAATTCAGCCATTTCCTGTTTTGACTCAAGTCATCCGATCTTGGCAAACAAAGGAGGAGGCCAATACAGTTAATGAGGAGATCCCTGTTATTGTTACTGGCACAAGGCCCAGCTACATCTTGTGAGCTCCCAAAGACCCCAGATTAAAAACAACAGAGGATAGTAACTTATAGAGCAGACTGCAGGGTAAAATGCTGCATTAGATATTTTGTTAGCAAATGGTTTTTCTTGCTACTGCAAAACCAATTGGATTAAACTCTTAAACAGTGAATAAAAAGTAAGCCTAGTCTGGTCAACAAGATCTGCACGTATTTATTCATGCTGCCAGGTCTATTTTAAAGAGAAAATCTACCTGTTACAAGAACTGCCAAACCATTTTAGGATGTATTTCATTAAACAATACAATAGAAAAAGAAGTTCAGAGGATTCAGAAGTAATATTAAACAGTATAGCCTTGCTTATTATCTGGTTGGAAAACCTCCTGAGGCCCAAGAGCAGGCCAGTCCTCTGGTGAGAAGGCTCAAGACTCAACACTGCCTGGTGGTGCCATCCAGCACTGTCAGCCTGCAAGTCACAGGAATATCCAAAGAGTCACTCCCCATTGCCTGTGCACTCCTATGGAGAAAAATGCTGCATTCCCAATCCTCCTGCCCTCCCAGCACCTGACCTGAGGTGCAGGAGCAGAGCAGGCACAGCTCAGAGCTGTGTGCACTAGGGCTGCATGTCTGGCACACAGGGGGGCATCTGGGGGGCCCCGTGGTTTCCACAGCAGTGGGAATTCAGGGAGCTGCTCCTGCTGAAAAACAAGAGCCTGGTTGTGTAGGAATGAGCCAGTTTTAGAGAGCATGTTTCTGACAGAGGGACTGTTCTGCCTGTGATGTGCACAAGGCACCACTGAACAATGTTTTAGGAGAGAGAACCTGAGGCATGGTTGGTGGCACGTGCTGGCCATGGCACGTGGGCACAGGAAGGCACACTGAGGAGATTTATTGGTACAGTGAGCCACATCCTCCTCTTCTGCCTCAGACCTAGGGGAGGGAGGTGCCAGCAGGTAGCTGTGCTGGAAGTAAAGGACCCAAACACAGAGCTCCCACACTTTCCCTTTCCCTGTCATGGTTGAAAAGACCTTGACAACCAAAGACTGCATTCATTTCTCATCCTGCTTGCCAAGGCTCTGTGTTGTACTTGCTCTTCACTGACATTTCCCCCCCCCCCAGACAGAGCTCCTCATTCCTGGCTGGCAGAGGCAGCAGGAAGCCTTCACTTCCACCCATCCAAATCCCTGCCCTAAAAATGACTCTGCCACTGACACAGCTACGCCTGGCTCCTATCACCACAAACAGTTCAGTACATTACACTCCATCAAGACAAGCAATATGCCTTTGCTGACTTTAGGATGAGACATTGTAAGAAGCAAATTCCAACAGAAATCAGGAGTGGCCTGACCAGTTTAACTTGCCCATATATGCATTTTTATACATGTGTATAAAATAGACAGGCACTCCTGCTCTAACACTTTTATTCATTTCCTACCACCCTAAAACAAAGACTCTTAGTGCCTGGGACATTGATAAGTACCTGTGCAGCAGGGCTCTCTTGCCACAGCAGGTGGATAAAATGGTCTCTCTCGTAGGTGATTTTTAGCCCTCAAGTATTGCACATAAGCACAAGGAGAAGTTATCATCAAATTCATCCATCTGTGCTGCTCTGCAGGCTGTCATTTAAATATAGGGTAGCTATATGTTTTATAGATTTGTATTACTGCCCATGACTAATGTTTTCTACTGCAATCCATACCAGCTGTGAAAACCCATAGGGATCCCCACAGCCCTCCCCTCTGAAGGCTAAAACGCTCCTCCAGAAAAAAACACTGGGAATTTTCCTTTGCAAGCACAAATTTCCACCCCTCCTGGGCTCACTTACCTTGCACAGAGAATGCCAGAAATTATCTCTGTGGGGCTTTTCCATGGAGGAATTTTTTTCATTTCACTCCCTAATACAGATTTAACTCTAAATACTTAAATCAGGAGTTATGAACACAGATTTGACTAAATGAACATGCACCCCTTCATCACCTTGAAAGCCAGCAGAGGTGAATGACTGATCTTTCCAGGGGAAGGATAAAAGATGTCAATATGGCAAGCAAAGGCCCTTATCTCATCTAAGGTGAATATATTAGCTGCAGAATCTTGATGCACAACCAGTGATGTAAAATGGCAGTGGAAAAAGTAACAGGAAGGAATAAAGTCACATGTTATTCCTGTGCTTTACCAAAATAGGTCTGAGAATACAAATAGAGGGAAAAGGGAAGAAAAAATGTTGAAAAAGGAATAAAGGCTAAATCTAGACATAACTATTACAGTAATTTAATAACATTTGCTTCTTCCTTCTTAAAACATCATTAGTCAAGCAATGCACGTGCAATGACTCTTGCATAATTCTGCTGCTTAAATAAGGAGATTATTTTATATACCACCTGAGACACCATCTGATATGTGCACACCAGCCCTAAAAGTCAAATCTAAAACCAACAGTACTTCAAATTCTGCTTTCCTGAAGTGGGCAGAAAGCTAAGGGTGCAAGGCAAAGGGCAGACAATCCTATCCACTGCAGGCTGCTGGCTGGGCTGTAGAGCATCTGCCTGCCCTGGGTGCTGGCAGAGAAGCTGCTGAAGCTCTGCCCCTTCATGCCAAGAGGGTGCAAGCACAAATGCACATCCTCAAAAAGGAGAGCATGCTCTGCAGAAAAGTCAGGCACTTCTACCAAGATGAAAAAGTTTTAAATATTTTAGCATTCTAGAGGTATGATAAAATAGTAAATTTAATGACATCATGAATTCATAACACCAAGGATAAAAGCAACTTCATATGAAATATGATGGGCCAGTTCTGCATGAGAGGCTCCAATGAATCTGTGCTAAGTTATGAGAGCTGTCAGGGGTAGGTAAAGAGCAAAAAGAAAATGAGGCTCTCAGTGAAGTCCCTGGTCAGCATTTAGCTTTCAGAATGTGTCTAATAACATGGAGCAAGGAGGAGTACCCTAAATCCAGGCAATTCTGCTACAGACACATCCTGGCCAAGGAGTTTCACCAAGCAAAGGAGTGATCTATACTGCTGCTCCCCTGGCAGGAAGGGGAAGCTGGGCCCAGGGATGGTGGCTGAACTGAACTGCTGGAGATGACATCTGAGTGCTGCACAGATGCCCCTCTGCCAGGGGCTCTGCCAGGGGCTGCAGCCTTTACTGCAAAAGATCAGAGCCCAGCCATGGGGCCCTCGTCAGAGACAGCAGCAGGCTCTGCCTGGAGCTGCGTGTCAGGGCCAAGGCTTCCCCAGGGCAGCAGCAGCCAGTAATTAAATAACTCCCCAGCCATGGGGGAATCTGTGACTGCCCAGCCTGACAAACCATCAGGAGCCTGTGTGACACTGGCTGCTGGCCTGTCCTCATGTTGAGCACGATGTGAATCATCCCCAGCTCTGCTTTGCACAAATGTTCAGCACAAGGTTCCAGCTCCAGGCCAGTTACATTTGGACTCTAAGCACAGTACTGCTTGTTTCACACAGGGCTGATTTGTCATCCCTGAGCTGACAAATCTGCTGTGATCTGTTTTACACAGCACCATGGAAGTTTATCTGTGCATCAAACAGCACATCTGCTTCCAATCAGCACACGTGGCACTCAGCCTGGGCACACACTGGGCCCTTTCTACTTAGAAAACCACATTTTGCCTTGGAATTATTTCCATGTAAGAAGTGATGCATGGACCCTCTCAAGTGGGCAAACATATGCCAGGAGGAGAGAGGCACCCTCTCCCTGTGCAGAAATGTGACCATCTCACCACTCCAGAGGCCTGCGAGAGCAGCTCGTGTCAGACTACTTCAGGAACTGGGGCAGGGGATGTGTTTGACCCACACATGTCAGCTTGATGCCAAAAACTGTCCTACATCATCCCCTTCTCTTTTTAATTCTGTGGTAAGAAATTACACCAATGGCCTCTAGCAAACAGAAATTTTGGGAAAAAGAAAAAAGAAGCTGAAGTGAGGAAAAGGCATTCACTGCACATGGCTTTTGCCTTGGTCCTCGGCCACACTGTAATTTTTTCTTTGAGCCCTGATTTTGATGACAAGGGATGTTTTTCTGGTACTGAAGACATAGATGAGAATCCCCTTATCACAACGCAGGGACTGGTTCTCAACAGACTGCCAGTACAGGGAGACTCTCACCGTGGACCAATTTTTTTCTGGTCCATCAATTTGTTTTATTGAGATGTGCACTAACATACTTACTTTCTAGTTTGCCCTTTTTCCTTCTAATTGATGCCCGAAGTAGATCCGGCCCCGCCAAGTCCTCCTGGAAGCGCTTTGCCTTCACTTCTGAAAACCATTCACCTGTCACAAACTTCTTCTTCTTTTCATCTGTGATGGAACCTTGTATCCTCCTGAAAGGCAGGGCAAGCATTACACACCAAACACATCTTCCCCTGAGCTACCTTTGCAATATGTCCATGGGTTCACCTCTCTGACACTATGAAGGATCCAGAGATTATTCTCTGCAATCCCTAGAGCCAAACCAGCATTAAAACAGCAGCTGTTTTACTCTTTATCTGGAATGGTAACAGCACCTTGTAAACACAGGCTTTCACCTCTTCCAGATTTCACACATCCAAATCATTCACCTGGCAAGGAGATTTGTCCACTTGCTTGGCTGCCCTGAGGGTTAAGGAAGGGGTGGGACTGTTTGTCTGTCTTCCACTTCTCCATTTTATTTGTTTATTAATCTATTTATGGCAAAACCTTCTGGATCAAATTTGCTGCAAACCACAGAAACAAATAATGATATTTAGGGAAGCAACCTGTCCCTGCAGCATTCTCCCTGGACACTGCTCCTCTCCGTGCTCCCCCTGCCATGCCTGTTTTGGCACTTGCATGGTTAGCTCTCCCTCCTAAGCATGGCTTCTCCTGCTGTTCCTCTCTTGGGCACACCCCGGGCTGGTTTTTGGCACCTAAACCTGTCAGTGCTCTGTACTCTAATCCTCCTCACCGTGGCTTGCTGAAATAGCTGCCTTGCAGCTGGCACAGCTCAGCACAGTTCAGGGTTTCTGTGGAACCTGGGAGGCCAGAGGAAGCTTTCTTCTCAGCAGGAAAAGGGGGCAAACCCCCAGATAACCCTGGAGCCTTGAAGGGTCCCGTTTGGCTGCCTAAAGGCCAGGAGGGAGCAGGGATAACTGGGCTCAAGCCTCTGCAGGCCATCCTGGGGACTCAACAGAAGTTCCCATCTCGACCAGGGCTGCACTGCCTCCATGAGGGTCTCAAGGTGCTGGGCCAGAGGAAATAGTTATTTTAATATTGCTGACAGCAAATCAAGGAAATGCATTGACTTCATTTTGCCCAGCAGGCAGGTTGTGTTGAAACCAAACATGTTTTATTGCAGGAAACCAAACTGACAGCAAGGGGCTCTGGGGCTCTAATTCACTTCACTCCCAAATCAAAGCCTCCTGTGCAACAGCTTTCAAAGAGAATTGAAACAAAACCAAAATAATCCAAATACTCTTTTTACCAAACATCCATTTCAGAGGGAAAATTTACTCAATTTCAGAAACAAACAAACAAACCAAAATAAATAAAAAGAAGCCTTTTTGAATTTTTTTCAACTCAGAGGAGAGGTAAGAAGAGCAGGCACACACACCCCAAGTCCAGGCTTTGGCTTCCAGTTGTTTCCCCAGCTCCCACCTCCAAGCAGAGGCCAGGGCACACAGCTCCCAGGATCCTGCAGCAAAGCCTCTTCTCCCTCTTCAAGCCTTGAGCATCCTTTCTGTATGGGGCTTACTCTTTTTCTAGCTCAACAGCAAATCAAAGACTCATATCCTTGGCTGGGGTAAATGGCACAGCTAATGTGTCATTACACCCACTGAGTTACTAATTTCTTACCATGGAGAATTTGGTGCCAGCTCCCTGAGCCTGGTGCCCAGATGGTCTAATGGCTGGCATTTAAAAGCAAGAGCAGCAACAAACAATCCTGATCAACCAGACCTGAGCTCCAGGATGGCCAGTGGCAGAGGAGCTGAACTGAGTCAGAATCCCTGGCTCTGGAACAGCTCCCTGCAAACCTCTGGCAGATCATGCAGCCTCTAATCACCCCTCTCTGTATGACAGATGGTGCACACACACACACCTCAAAAAGCAAGGGGGCAACATAAATCAGAGAAGGGGATGTAAAGTCTCATTTTGTAAAATCTCATTTTAAAACACACTATGGCCTTTCTGTGCTACCAGGTGAGTAAAACAAGGTAGCAGCTACTCCCCTGCTCAGACCTCTGCCACCAAGAAATCAGCATCTTCCTTCACCTCAGGGAAGGGGTGACTGCCCTTGGCATCTCTGAGGGCTGATGATTAACTCAAAAGGAGAGTCCCCTCCTGCAAGGAGAGGACAGCCGCAACAGAAGGATGGCTGAGAAAGACAAGGTACAATGAAAAGATCTATCAGGATCTGAGCAAAAGGGACAGCACTGCTGCAACCTGCACCTCTCCTTGTTCACACACACACACGTGCTCCTCTCTCAAAGAAATGAAAAAGTCTTCCCCAAGGGAAGCTCACATCCTGCTGTCACACACTGTCTCACCTGATGCGATCCCCATCCCTCTTCTTCAGCTCTGCATCTCTCTGCAGAACCTTCATCAGCTTTTCATACTCCTCCTCGGTCAGGAAGCTCAAGTCCAACATCTTCCCTACTGTCTTCTTCAGCTCCTCAAGGGCTCAAGCAGAGACAGAGCAGGCAGTAATCCAGCCCAGGCTGCCGCAGGGCCATGGGCAGCCCCTCAGAGCCGCCCTGGTGCTGAGCAAGATGCGCTGCAGAGAAAGGAGTCACCACAGCATGGCTTGGGTGGAACTCACCCTAGCACCTGGACGTGCACTTCCAGGCTCTTGGCTGGCAGAGCTCCCTGCACTGCATGCCTTCCCCTGCCAGGAAAATTCTCTCAGCACAATTGGGCTCCTTCGCTTTTCCTCAGGCAGGGTTGCAGCGATCCGGACGCCAGCGTCAGTCACAGAGGGAAGCAGGGGAAGCAGCGAGCTCCTGCCTCAACAGGCACCAAAGCTCTTCTCACCAACAGCAACCCCAGCACCTCTGGCATGCGCTCTCCTCAGCAGGGAAATCTGCTCTGTGGAGTTCAAGCATCCCTGCAAAGAAACAGCACCGAGATGCCTTTGAGATAAGCGTGACATATGGTAAGCGAATGTGTGCATTGGGGGTTTTTATTTGTTCTCCAGCACAAGTTCCAAAACAAGCTGCCCTACTTTCCTCCCCGTCCTAGAGCTTCTCACGTGGTATTAACCTAACCAAGATGATGTTTTATTTTAGCCATTTCCTACTAACAAATAAACAGTTGACTCAGCATGCCACAAACAAAATATGTATATAAATTACCAAGTTGCTTGCTTGCTTTTTACCTTCATTCTTCTTATCCTCACTTCTTTATGCCCTAAATGAGACCAAGGATAAGCAGCCAACCTTTGTAAAGCAATTGGAAGATGACAGAACAGCAACCTGCAAGTATTTCTGCTGCATGTTATGCTATGAAATACCAGGGGTTGCTCATTTTCTAGTATGTGTGCCCTTTGCTTTATGCTGCACTGGTATTTGCTATTCAAACACTACTGGTGCAGATCACTTTGTGTTTCAAAAGACAGCAAAAGTGGCCAGAGGCTGCAGGGCATGGAGGAAAGGTAAAACAAGCACTGCATTGCCACTTTATTCCTTTTCCTCTCTCCTGGCCAACTTGAGGACAGTAAGGCCCACCTTTGAGGGAGGAAAAGTTCTGCTCCTGTCCATGTAGGCAGTTTCTACCTCACTCAGTTTTTCTACTGTTTGCAAACCTTTCAAGTGTTTGTGGGTTTCATGATACTTTGCTATTTCTTCAAAAGCCAGAGCCTTGGGAGTCAGATCATTAAAAATCAATAAATCTCATCTTTCATGGCAAACATGATCTGAAGGTCATCAAGCCCACTCCATAACCTCAAAGCTTATATCACCCTTAGTCTCTAATCTGTGCCTTTGAGCATACCAGTCTCAGCCCTTTCAGGCCACCTATTTCAGTGTTTTGCTGTCAGCAAGAAACTTCTTCCTATTGCCTACCCCAGATCTCCCTGCTGGGTGTCAGCCCATCCTAGGTGACACAGGAATTATCCCTCTGCAGCCATCCTCCCTGGGACTGACACCTCAGCCTCTGTGTTAACCAACCACAGCTCCTTCAGATCCCTCAAAGCTGCATTTTCATAATGTTTGTCACTTCTTTGGACTGTCTGCATGGGGCATCTCTTTCATCAAGGGACCCATCCAAAGGTGAGCACCAGTGCTTCAGCTGAACTTTGCTCATCATTTGACATCCTTTCATGGACTCACATTATTTTACAGATGATAAACTCACAAATGTTTGTGCTTTTTGTAATGGTGTAACAATATATTAAAAGAAAGAACAGGCATCTGACCATAATGTTTACAAATAAATACCACAGAACACTGCAGGAAAAAGCTAATAAAAGGAATGGCATTGTCATAAAAACTCTTTTTTTTTTTTTTTTTTTTTTTTTTTTGGTAAAAAATTGCTGGAGAAAAGGAAACAACATTTCCTATTTCTTTATGGCAAGAATGGCTGTGCTTGTCACACTACAATATAGCCTTTATCATGTGAAAAACTATCCACACCGCTCTAAATAGTTTAAACAGAAACAATAATAAAAAAAACCCTGGTGAATCTTTACTGTTTAAACCTACATTTCATCCAGCTTGGCATGGCTCTTCCATGATTAGTTCCATCTACTTTTCTCTGGCTGTCAGGCACAATCACAATCCTACTTCCACAAAGACATTCACAGAATTTTCTGGGACAGACTTTATTTTTGAAAAGGTATCTAGGGACACATCACAGTATTTGCTTCTCAAGAACTTTTATTTATTTTTAACAAACCCCATGATATGTGGGCTGAAACTACTTCAGAAAATATTTTCAGAGAAGACTCATATTTATTCATCAGTATGGCAGTCAATTAAAAATAAAGGCTACATCTTGGGAAAAAGGCTACTTCTTTGTAAAGAACCTTTTTTTTCCTTTCCCATGAAAATGTTTTCTCTCGCAGAAATCGCTACATTAGAAGGAAAAGGTTAACAGAAACCAAGAGCCAACTCCTTTTGTTTTATATAGTTAAAAATCAAACCACTTGATGCGCCTGCTGTGGGAAAGTGAGCTACTCCAGAAGACCGCTCCATTGGAACTGGAGGTTTTGCTGGAAGTGTCAGGAGCTGCAAAGCTGTTGACCCAGACCTGCAGGAACTAACAAGCCTGGGAAGTGATCTCCATGTGCAGCATGGCCACGGGGCTGTCCCTGCCCCACTGAGCCTGGGCAGCCTCTGCTGGGCGCCCCATGCGTGTCATGGGCAGTGCAGAGCCTTGAAAGGAGAAGCCCTCCATGAACACTCAGGTGCAGAGCATTAAGGGAGAGAGTGCTAATTGCTCACCTGGGTCTACACGTGCAGTAGATGAAGGATAAGAATGAACTGGCAGGTACAGAACATTATCAGGCAGGCACAGAGCTCAGTGCTCAGTGCCAACCACTGCCCCTAACTGGAGGCAGGCTCACACTCCTGCTGCAGCACCACACAGCCTGGGTTTGCTCTCTTAGATTGCACATCATCCTCTTCCCTAACAAGGCCTTGCTAATGGACAGTTTGGACACCACAGGGGTGATGTAGTACAAACGCCTAAGTCAGCAGGAAAGCAGAGGACGCGTGGGTCCCACACAGATAAAAACAATTTCTGCGAGTCCTGCCCAGCCCTGGCCTTGTCATCTCTGCAAACAGCTGGGAAGGAAAACACAAAAGCCTTGCAGCTCTGCAGGGCAATGACAGGAGTCATTGCACAGTGCTGGGGCAGATTTTACCCCAGACTGAGACTTCTTCAGTGCAAGCTCACTGATGTAAGCTGGCTGGGGACAAACTGTGACAAGCACAAAGACAGTTGTACTCTCCTTCCCTCTCACCAGTGGGAGACCCCTCCTAGTGACCCCTCCTCACTCTCTGGTGACAGAAGCAAAATGGAGAATCATAAAAAAGTGAATGGTTTGTGTCAGATAGGCAACTTCTGCCCAAGGCCTATGGCTCACCTTGCAGAACAAATCTGGGCTGCCCTCAGGTTCTGCACCACCACGACACCCCAGCACAGAGGGTCCTGACATTTCACAGCAAAGCAGATGGGTAAAATTGCCATGGCTACAGGAAAGACCACAGATGTGAGCAGAGAAGCACGCTGGATGTGCAAAGGACCCTTGCTCTTCTGACTGCTTTTCTGGGGAAGAGAACGTCACAAAGATCAACTCACATTCCCAGCCCTGTTGACAAATGCTGGGTGCGGAGACAAGCAGCAGCAGGACCCATCATGTGGCATAACTGGCTGCATCTCCTACTGTGATAGTTTTTGATTTCTTGTGGCCACCTCCCCAAGAAGCAGCCAATGCTTCAGTCTCCAGAAATATCTGTGCTGGTGAATGACACTGCTGTGCAGCTCATCAAACACAGAGCCAGGCGTGGCTGGAGATGTGAGACCAGCCCTGGCATGTGTGCATTTCATCTCCCAACAGACTGTCAGTGCCCAATTCCCTACAGGGAAGGCCTCACAGCTGGACTGAAGGTCTCTGTAATGCACCAGCTGATCTTCAACACGGGCTAAGAGCTTACAGCCAGAGCCATCCTGTGCTCCAGCTTCTGTAAGGTACCAGGCAGGGATGCCTTGACAGGAGCACTGTCCCTGCATTTCACAGCTTTTCCAATTACTTTCTGAACTCACATTAATTTTAAGCATTTGCAATATCCTTCAATGCCCCACAGTTCCACAGCTTCACTACATTTTAAACACTAAAGTACTTGTCCTTGATTTGATTTGACCTGCCACTTGCTTGTTTCATTTTATATCCTCATGTATTTTTATTAGAAAATCCAGTAAGGATCACTCTGCAATCACCTGCTCCATCTTGCAGACCTGTGTCACAGCCATGGCTCCTCTTTACAGACAAAGGAAGTCTGTTGTTTGCTCATTCCAGGTGTTACTCAGGGAGCTTTGCTCATTCCTCACACCCTTCTCAGCCCCAGATCTAGTTTACCACACCACTGCTTAGCAGTGTTCAGGTGCAGAAAGGCTCTTTCCAAGAGCTGCAGCCCTGGGGATGTTCCCCTGTGGCCTGGTTTTGCAGTGGCAGGTGTAAGCCATGGCCAGCTGCAGCTCTGCAGCCGGGAGGGAGATGGGCAATGCCAGCCCTCACACAGGGCACAGCAAATGGCTCTGCAAGCCCTCGGACAGAGGAGAGCTCTGAGCACCTGCACAAAAGCTGAGAAGGTTACTAATAAAAGTAGAGGAGAAAGCTGTTGTTCCAGAAGATGAGATTTTTAAAGTAACTCTCTTTCAAATAGTTTGATCAGATAAAAATTAAAAGCTTGCTTGGCCTGGCAGGTCTGCAGGCCTTTCAGAAAGGCAGATGCTGAAGGGGCTGACACCTTCTTTGTGCTGCGTTTTCATTTTATTTCTGGGAGGTTTAACTGAGCTCAGAACTATGGTAATGCTGTGCATAACTAAAGCATGAACTGCTCAGATACAGGTACCCAGTACAGCTCAGTGCTCTAGCTGGCATCTACCTACAGATAAAAATTATTTGTAGGCCATCTGCAGGGCACTCCAATCTTGGTTCTGATTTCTCAGCATTCACCTTTCCTTCAAAATGCTGCACATCTTCCTCAGCACTGGGATGTGCACAGATTAATAATATACACCACAGGCCAAGCAGATTTCATTGACTAGACACTGAATGGCATGTAAAGGGAGAGGAGGAATTTAGGAGCTGTAACCTGACAGATTGGTAGTCAAGACCCCATTCCATCACCTAGGTGAGCATAGGACCATCTAGACCCACCTCACCCTTTAGCCCTGGAGCTGCACAGAGGTCCATGTAATAAAGATACGAAAACCTCCTAACACAAAACGTAACAAAACCAGAACAGATAATAGTGATCTCACAAGACTATTCATATCCCAATGAAAATAGCAGCTAGCTGCAAAGGCTGTTGTCCATACCTCTTTATCACACATCATGTCACAATGTAAGGAAATAACCTTCTTTTGCTTTACAATGTG